CAATGCAATGATAAAAATGCTCCAAGTGCCAATCTCACTTTTCATCTCATCAAAATACCAGCATCATAATGCACATCCCTACATCCATCTATTTTTAATCCAGTTATCCATGCATTTACCTATTTCTCCACCCATCCATCCATCCATCCATCTATCCAACAGTCCATCTATCTATTCATCTACCTACCCCACGATCTATCTATTTATTTGCTCATCTACCTATCTATCTATCTATCTATTCATTTCATCAGTTCAACAATCATTTACCACTCAATAATGTCACTGACTACCATACATACATACATACATTCGAATCAAAACACATACTACTAGAGGAAAATGAACATTGCAAGAGAGAAGTAAAGAAAACTAAAATGAGCAATAATACTTACAAGCAGCAGAAATAAATCATTCTATAGTCAACGACAATAGCATACATCGATAACTATAGAGAAGCAAACTATCCTCAGCATGTCTGGCATACACAATATGAGACAAGGAGTGAAAATAAACGATGTCTTGTTCTGCCTCTTCTGCCTATGTCCCTCTCTGTCTGCTTGCCTGCCTGGTAGTAGACAGCAGTAGAATGACGATGGTCATGAGATGTGAGTTCATCTTACCTTACACTGCCAAACGCACGTATGCTCACACACATACACACGTGAGGATTCATTGTAAGTACTCACTCTTCTTACGTGTTTACACATCATATCACTTTTCAATCCGTAACTACTACAAAATAAATATTAATCAAAAATGTTGCTAGTAAGTCAATCAAAAAAGCTGCAAGCAAATAGCGTAAACCATCTTGTCAATAATATTGACAATGCCAGGACAAGTATAATACACATTTAATCATGAGTAGAAATTAGAAGTACTTAGTAATGAACAAATTGATAAACATGTCATGTTATATTATGTGATGTAATGAAATATTGCCATTACATTTCCTTGTAATATTGCTGACGTATAATGTTCCACATAAGCAAATTAATAAGGAAGTATATGTTTGTGAACTACAAGTTAAAATCAAGTAGTTATCTTTTATTCAAAAAATAAGTAAAATGAAAAGGAATGGGCAAGGACTGACTGGACCGTTTCGTAGCATGGTGAAGAGATAAAGTGCAATGAGAGGCACGACCTATGACCCTCGAAGAAGAGAAGTGAGGGCAAAAGTATCTGCCCTTGGTACCACCTCACAGTAAGCATAATAAAATTAAAAAAATATAGCAGCGAAAGAATATGAAAAGAAAGACAAGCAGGTATGACTGGCCATCTGCCCATCTGCTCCACAAGCAGGGTACTACCCTATGATATATGCGTATACGGACATCATGGTATCAACCTTATCGATCCGGCCTCTGACCAGTTTGTTACTTTCCATACATGCAAACATCAATCCGCACTTCTTTCTTACAGCCAGACACCATTATTTATCTTCCTTACCCTATTTATTCTTTTGTTATCACAACATATTACCATGTCCGTAACATTATACTTCAACTTTCAATACTTTCTCTTGCTAGTAGTAATCATTTCATACCAATTTAACAAAAGTAACTCAACATTTTTCTTTCTAATTATACTCCAGCTAAGCTATTTCTCGTTACTGACCACTACTTCAATCAAATCATCCACAATGAAAGAAAGGGAAGAAAGAAACAACAACATTCATAAAGTTAAACACACACTCCTCAACACTTTAGCCAATGAAATTAAAGCGTGGAACGGAAGCAACAATTGCACTCTTAATATATCTGTTGCATCTTCAGTGCATGGAATTACTCGACACATGACAATTACATTTACGCACTATACTAATCATTCAATTTGCATACCAATGCTCTAATTCCTTTTAACCCCATTCCATGCGTCAGTACCAATGTAGCAACATATCATCCCCACCTGAATTCACGCATTCATGTACACGCAACAAATGCTCAAAAAGTACCAGATTACTGTATCAGGTACATCGACTAAATTCCACATACAGTTAAATCCTGCTCTTCCATACACTACTTTCTTCAGCTGAAAAACAAAAAAAAAATACTAACCATACAATAATACTCTTCACTATAATTTTTCAATGTTTTCATATCCTGCGATTTTATCGAGTATCCTTTGTCAAATTTACCAACTAAGTAATGAATTTTCAATGAATATTTCAACAAATACTTGACGAATAACCGCAATGGAAAGAAAATCAGAGCGATTCCTCTTACAACGGAAAGCGCTCATACGATAATGTAAAAACTTTAATAGGACAGAATTTATAATACATAGATCACATATGTAATAACTTAGGTCGCAATAAGCGGACGTAAACGTCTCGAGCTAAAAAATCATCCCAAGCTTATGTAAAACAAGCAAACTCATGGGAAAAAGGAGGAAAAGTAGTTGTGACAACTGATAACAAAAATCTAAAAACTTGAAAGCCATAAGTAATAATTTACATAAGATACAATTGCTCACACTTATGTAAAATGTATGTCACACAAACTATCCAATGTGGAACAAAAAGTGTGATCAATCGATGCGGTATATATATGAAAAAATATACAGCACATATATATATATATATATATGCGATGTTTTTTCTTAAAAACAATGAAAAATACTCAAAAAAATCACAACAATTCTCAAGTAAAAACATGTTGTTGCAACAGACTCAAGTTCTTCTTGTGAGTCTCAAAAATTGCTAAAAATGTGAAATATTTAAATACATGACAAACGCTTTAAAAATTAGTCCCTAGCATTATCGTCTCCACGCCTTCGATCCAGTTCTTCATTCATATCGGACGGACTGTCTTCCTCCCTTAAACAATGAAATAAATAATTATTAGTAATATATTAAAATAAACACAACTCTCATGATACCTCACACAAAAATGTCCAAGTAAATCCATACCCTTCAGCGATCACAAGGTCGACTATTTCCATAGGTACTTGCCTTTGTAGAAATGGTTCTTCATCCTCTAAGAAAAAAGAAAGGAACTACCATTTATTAATATTAAGTAGAGTAGAAATATGTGATATTAAAAATTTAATGTCAGAGCTACTGAGAATTCAACATATATTTTAATATTGGGACTCAGCATATAGAAAGTTATGGTATACCATTATCAGAATCATCTAAATTCCGGTGAAGATCGGCATTTGCTGCAATACTATTCCCAGAAGACTGATCACTCGAAGGAGAATGCTCTGGGTTGAGAAAGTCCCAAATGAGTATCGTATCATCATGAGAAGACGATATAATTTGAAACTCATCAAACTGTAAACGAAATACTCTTCCCGTATGTTCCTTAAAACTTACGTTAAATTCAGACCCTTTATATTTTATATAAATCGGTGAAAATGCAAATATGAACCAGAATCGAATATAAGCTTTGAAACTAGCATGAAAAATAATCCTAGGATAATACTAATACTCCATTTCCACCTCTTAAATGGGGATATGAAGTGGATGACAAAAAAAAATTGAAATTTTAAAATTTATTCGGCAACTAAAAACATAAACAGTAAATTTACTTCCCAAACGTATGAATTTTTGTTAAGTACTTACCACTAATGTCAATAAACATATTCTATCCGGCGGACAACGTGGATTTAATGCTGCTTGAAGATCCCAAACTTTTATTTTCCTGAAACCATTGCAATGTCGATTTAAAATTATGGACACAATCAATAATTTATACTTACCCATCGTAAGCGCCGGACACAATTCTTTTAGCATCAAAACGAATACAACGTACGAGTTGTTCATGACCCTCTAAAACTCTCAAACACGTACCAAATTCGATATTCCATAATCTGAAAGTATTAAATCAAGCATTAGAAGTGTTTTGAAGAGTCAAAAGAAATTTTTATTTTTGAAGCTGTGAACCTTATAGTATTATCACTTGAACCAGAAACAACCAGCTGATCATGATACTGCAAACAGGCGATACCTCGTCTATGACCAACCATAGTACGCACAAATTCACATGTGTCAGTACTCCAAACCTTATAAATTTCAAACTGCGATGAATTAGCAAAGAATGTCTAAATATATTTCAAAGAACTGAAATTCTGGTTACGCCATAGGTACTCGGTCAATAACTTAGTGTCATTAAGCATGGACTCACTTTAATAGTGCGATCACCAGATGCTGAAACGATGTATTTACTATCAAAGTCGACAACATTAACAGCTGCACGATGAGCCAGAAGCACACGACGTACGACAATTTCTACTGGAGAAAACATATTCCACACTGCTATTGATCGATCTTTAGAACTAAAGTTTTTGCTTAAAATATTAACATACCTCGAACTAGAAACACTTGCAAACAAACATAAAGCAGCTAAAAACTTGTGATTACTAGATAGTCATAAATATAACTTACCAGGTGACCATCATACCATTTTGGAAACGTAGATGTAAAACCGCTTCAGCATGATGGATTAAGGTGTGCAATAATTTTCCTGTCTCTACATCCCAAACTCTAAAAAATTTTATTGAAAGTTGTTACTGAAGAACTGTTGCAAATTAAAATAAAAAATAAGGAACTCAAACAAGTGTGAAAAAAGTGTTGTAGTTTAAATGAACATTATGTTTTATAAAATAAAAAATTACTGCTGATGCAATCAGCATCGTTTTCAGCAACAAAAATATCGTTAGGTGACTACACCATTTTGAAAAAAAATGTCACCATAATAATCACCTGACTGTATGATCACTGCTACCGCTAATGATAACTCGATCATCATACTGTAAGCAAAGTACAGAACCAGTATGTCCACGCAAGATTTTTGAACATTGTAAATCCTTTCTCAACCAGATTTTGATAGTATGATCCCGCAGACCAGATATTATTTTATCGTCGTCATATTGTAAACAGTATACTCCTATAATACTCACTTGAATATGGATAGAAACTAATAAAGTTGAAAATGCTTCTAATAACCAAAGGGCAGTAAAAAGCCAAAGATCAGAATAGCATAGGATAAATTATGTATGCTAATTTACACGCTAGAGCTCCTATAAGAATTTTAACCTACCCCTACTGGGCTCTGAATGACAAGTGATACGAGATAACACATGTCGTCCATTTTGCCAATTAAATTTCAGCGATTCAATAGTTTGATATAAATTGGGGTAGAGGTTTTTGTAAAATCTGTGCTGAATTTCAAGAGACTCTGCTGTGTTTCTGAAATGCTTTATTAATTTTATTTCAATTAATATGTATAAATAAAGGTATAACAGCAACTATTTGCTAATGGCAGTGTATGTTTTTAGAGTCCTAATTTTTTCTATAAATATATAGCGACATTTTCATTCAAAAAAAAGAAAAATTTACTGAATAAGAAATAAATCAATCACATAAATTTAATAAGACAAAAACGTAAATAAAAAAAACCTGAGCTGTTCTATCGTGTTTGAAGAATAATTTAGTTCTTTGAGAACTAATGTGTGAGCTTTTTCTTTTGACACGAAGAAATATTTATCCCTAAAAATAATTGGAAGTAACTTTCAATAACACACGCTGAGAAACGCTAAATCTGTTCCAAAAATTAAAAAAGGAGAGTTAATTCTGCACAATGAAATCTTGAAAACTTTGCATAAATTTACCATCCACGTTTGTTTACAAGCCCTTTCCAGACTGCATCAGTTGAAATATGTCTTTCAATTAGTCGGCGCCATAGTCTTCCATGTGCAATAATACGTCTCCATGTTCGACTAACTTTTTCGCTCGCATTCAACCCACGTGCATCAAGGAATGATAGAACATGTCTTGCCAATCGATCTAATTGCAGAAACTTGATATTCGTAAGCATGAGTCTCTTTTATCAAATATATTACCTTTATTGTGGGAAATTTATAGGATTTCAGAATGAACCTGGTAAAAAGGCTATGAAATCTCGCTGTAATATAGGCCTCAAATACATATCAATTTGTGCATGCTGATCGTGACACATGTTACGAATAAGAATTTTCATAAGATCAACTTGATCGAAATTTGTCCAACTAAAAAAATTCTGAAATAATGTAAATTGAGTAAACACTAATCTTCTACTAATTTTTTATTAACATATTATGACATCTTTTACAGGTATGCTTGAAAAATTAAAATTTGATAAAAATAATAAAAAATAAACATCAACCCTGATTTTTTTTGTCTCTTTTATCAAATATATTACCTTCATTGTGGGAAATTTATAGGATTTCAGAATGAATCAGTAACTTACTTCTAAAACTGACTGCCGATTTTTCAAATATAAAGCACTCAATTTTTTTTCTCTTTCTCGTAAAGATAAGTCCGCCATCAAATCAAGTGTTGATTCACCATGAAGAGACGGAGTCTGAAAAGAAATACTCGATCAATAATTAAAAAATTGGCAATTTAAAAAGAAAAGAAAACACTGAGAAAAAAACTAGGATGGGCAAATATTGGGAGAATAAGTACACGTAAGTAAAAAATTTAGTGATTTTCATGCACGAGAAGCACGGAAAAAAATTCAAAAATAGAAACGAAAAGATGCAAAAAAACTCACAGTATGATCTCCAGAGTGTTCATGACATTCTTCCCCTCGGTTACTATCAAACGAGGTATTCTTAGACGTCATTTCGAAACTGACTGCAGCTCTAGGGGACTTGAATCAATTATGTACAGTCAGTCACTTAAAAATGACAAGTATAAGAATTAAATTTGCAACTACTTTATTCGATCTGAACACAGAAAAATGAATGATCTAAAAATTTCCGCATTTGCTTTAAAATCATTCGTGATAATTGAAAGCGTTCTTTTTTAGCATTAAGCCCAGAAGCGAATGAAAAAGTACTGTTCTAAAATTTTCAGAATATTTCTTTGAAAGTAGCTATAATATATAATTTGTTTAATACAGCAAGTAGATTCATCGTAAGTTAATTAGAAACTGTTTTCTAAATATAACACAAACTATGATGCAATCTTAACATACAAAAAAAACTACTCCTTGAAGAATTACTATTTTGACGTAATGATAACCGTTACTACGATACCTAGAGCATTTATTGCATTAGGGCAGTCAAACACAAAGCCATACACTAATGAGAAATTTGAATTGATGACGAATTGCGACAAACTATGACAAAATACAAAAAGAAGAAAGATTAGTGAACTAAATGAATTTATAGAGAACATTGATTTAGAGAAAAGTTAGAAAGTCCTACATTTTTCCCTGAGTTGGTGGGAAGATTGAAACTGTAGCTAAACTTTTGATTATCATTTTTTTTTATGTAATTGTTTTGTCTTGTATTACTACTTGTTACATTGTAACTATGAAATTAAATTAATTAAATTCCAATTAAGTATTTTTGTTTGTGTGATTTTATTAATTTATAATAAATACTAAGTGTTAAGAAACAAATTTATTTTTACTAGGGTAATCCGTTTAACATTTGATAAAATTAACTTTTACCAATAAAACTTAATATTTATCAATTTAGGATAAAGTAACCTTTCCACTATCAATTTAGGATAAAGTAACCTTTCCACTATCAATTTAGGATATAGTGACCTTTCCACTATCAATTTAGGATAAAGTAACCTTTCGACTTCTGCTATTTATCATTATCCTATAATTAATGATAAATAATGCAGTGTATCTGTTTTCGGTAGTGTATTGTTAACTTTGAATAAAACAATCTGTTCATTTCAGATAATGGATTTATCAATTAATCAAGCTTTCAGTTATATGGCGTGCTAGTTCTTCACTGAAGTAACGCATGAACTTTCTAAAAATTGCTGTTGTAAAGTAAGTCAGTGCATTACTTTATTTAAAGTTTACTGTAGCAAATTCGCTCTGTGATTTGTTAACAAATGCAATATTTTGACTTTGAATATTTTTTTGCTTAATAAATTAGCATTCTTTTCATATTTTGTATTAATTATATTTATTTTTACAATTTACGTTTGAAAGTTGGTACTGTAAATTGTGTTTAGTTTTGGTATCTGAATAGCTCAAAATGCAAGAATGCCATTGATGGAAGAAAATGCCCATTGCTTCTGTCATTATCAACCAAGAAAACATTTAATATTATAGCAAATTATTCCAAACATACATATCAATCAAATGGATCAATATCATTAATTACTTCGTTATGTACTGCTTAACCCGTATTGATTGACCTTTTTGTGTATTGTCCTGTTTCGGTTAATTGACCAATTGACGTTCGAGTTGTATTGAAAGTACTGAAAATATACGTTCGCATTCTTTAATTCTATCTATTTTCTTGCTATTTTATTATCCCTCTACCTATTTTTGACCTCACCTCCCTTAAACCAATAGGTCATCCCTAGGGTATAAATATCTTCTGCTCTTCATCTGATACATCATTCGCTTTTGCTTTCAGTTCAAATTTGAACGTCTGGTTTCTAATAATTCTAGATTGATCAATTTTGGCACAGTGCCATTTGGATCCTTCGTTGAATTTATATCGTAATCTGTGTTTATATGCTTATTTCAGTGGTGTTAACGGATATTTGTAAGTGCAATATTAGAGTTATTGTACTACAGTTATTACAATAATAATATTGTAATAACTGTAGTACAATTTATACAGTAATGGTATGAGCTTACTTTTTTTTCCAGTCATTAAATAGTTTGAAAACTTCGGTTTCAGCTTCAATGGCTGTTACTTTTTCGTGTATATGGTTCAGTTTATCATTGCGTGATTTGTTGTAAATATGCTTAGTATACTGAAAAAAAATTTACGCATTGTATAATAATTGTAAAGATCAAAATTTAATAAAGAATTAGTATAAATTTTTGTTGCCAAAAAAGTTACAGTCTTACTTTTTGCTGCTGCTTGAAACGATCCGTGTGCAGTCGCTTGAGTTTGCTATATTGCATCCAATTCATAAGCCTAGAATGTATTCATAATCAAAAATGCATTAGTATTTGATTAAAAGATTTACTCTAAGAAAAACCAACATTGATTGGAAGATTTACTAATTGTAAATAAGCCAAGTGTAAGTCAGAGTAGGTAAGAACTAGTCTACAATTAAGAAATGATTCTCATATCAAAAGCGTGTTCTAGTTATCTACCTATTTTATTTCACTAGATCACATTTTATGTAACATCACTTTTCTGTGCAAAGATTCATCATTGAGTGCAGAGAAATGCATCTATGAAATAGTAGTAGTGGTAGTAATTTCAAGTTTTAATTTGAACTAATTAATTAATTAATTCATATTTGTTAGGAATTTATCAATTACTGTATACTATAGCATTTCATGTTTATTAACGAGCAGGTCAAGTATGATAAACTCATGGCATTAATTTCTTTTTTTTTGCAATTTTCAAGACATAATCTTTCTTTTACTTTTAATTGTTCTTTTGTAAAATTCTGTTTATAGCACTGTTAGATGAATCTTTTTACTGTTGAGATTTGCTTAGACAATGGTTATACTGTATAACTGTAAGAAAGTGTAAGCTGGTATTGCTCGTGTTATGCAGAGTATTCTTGACATATTTACTGATATGTATTTGAAGGAATTACTATTAGTTATATTGATGAGCATTTCATATGACTTATTTTGTTTATATTTTATTTAAAAAAAAAAAAATTGATGTTTTGCGAACTGTAATATACAAGTGACATATTTTGAGCAATTTTTTCCCGTTGTCATTTATAGTGCTTGTGTGGAATATATTTGCAAGCAGTACTCAAAATTTCAGTGCTAGTATTGCTTGTAGATATGTTCATATTCCAGACAAACACAATCAGTGACAACGGGAAAAATGCTACATTTTATTCCATCTCGAGCAAAGTTTTTTAATATATGATGTTTAACTGAAATTTTTGAAGGCAGCTGGATTCCGTGCTGTCATCATCAAACAGATATCCAAGCATAAAAGAATGAAATTCTGGCTAGATTGCTCAGCATGTCTAATTCTTGACAGTCCAATCAGATCGTTACACTTCAAAAACAGGAATTATTTTGAATAGTGTTTAAGATTATTCTTGGTGACAAAATATCAAATTTAATTCTTGTGAACAAGATTTTTGTTTTTGGTAGATAAGGAAGTTGTTTGTTTCAAATTGCATATATTGGTCTTATTATAGTAACAGATAAAAACTGTGTGGATGATTTATACAAATCTTGTTGATGTCAGTGTTCTCTTGACTTTACGTCAAAATAAACGTCAATAAATTAGTCACTGAATCAAAGGAATTGCGAATACTACCATAAAATATTACTATTTTGAGAAGTTTGCATGGAATGTACACTTTAGTAGTTCTATGAAACATCTTTTGACGTTGTTTTAATCAGTTTTTGACGTTGCTGGCAATTAACAGTAATTTACTGTATCGCGAATAATATAGATAACACAAGAATTAAAATTAATCAGTTTATGCTTGCTGCATAGTTATCATGTCACTCTGGATAAATGTTGTTTATAATTAATTTATAATGCAATTTATTAATTCTTTGTTATAGATTTATTTTTCTTGTTTTTTATTGCGTTTATGTGTTATTTAATACTTCTGATTTTATGCGTACTATTTATTACAGAAATTACGATGCATCGTACAGTCATTAATAGGCATTTACGTCAAAAAAAACAAATAAACAAGGTTAGTATATTGCTGCTTTATTAAGCATATTCTTAATATTATTTAGTTATTTGTTCGATTATTTATTTGACCTTTAAAAATCGTCAGGAATGATAATTTTATAAAAAATTTTTGGCATTGTTGTGTGCTTAAATTATTGTCTAAATTAAATCTGTTGATCGTATTTGCAAACAAATCATTGCATCTAAACAAACTGAAAATTTGAATGTCTATCTTACAAAACAAATAATTTTTAATTTTACTACTTATTTATGATGATTTTAATGTCATTTGCTTTATATCATTAATAATTTGGTGACAAGCTTTCAACTATTCAATTTTAGAAAACAAAGTTGAACCAAGACCAATGTACATCATCAACTTGTCTGTTAAGTCAGTTCACATTTGAAGATGAAGAGCGAAATGAAGTATGTAATTCAGACTGAATTTTCGGGAGAATGAGTTTTAGAATTTTATTTTGCATTTAAAAGTTAACTGGCAAGCCCTTTGTTATCAGTCTGAAACTAATATGCATAAATATATATGGATAAACATCGGATAAAAGACAGTGTTTTTTATTCATTTATGAATATTGATTGAGTTAATCTTTTTTTTGTATCATTAAGCTTTCAATAGTGCTGCAACGCATTAATTGTTTCATTAGGCGCACATTTCCAGAAGTACTGTTTTGCATATTTTGTATACAGTGAAAACTAGGTCAAGTAAATAACAGATAAAACTTTGGCCAGTAGCCAAATAAATTGTAATATATCTAGAACCTATTCTTTTGTCTTACGTCTTTGTAACTATACGTATTCCACATATAAATGCTAGCAGTGATTCTTCCTGATATGGTACTGTTTTTATCTCTCATCTTTAAGTATGAGAGATGTAAACTTGAGCAGTAATTTTCTAAATAGAAAAATCTGGTAACAATAAACAGTTTTGTATAGGAGTAGATTGTGAATTTGGTCACTTTTTATTTTGCTCAGTCTTTTGAAGGATTGTGATTCTAAGCTCATGACTGTGTAAATGAAGAATTATGATATTTATATATTGTATGTAATAGAATTGCTCGTACTGTTTCTTTTTAGATGATGAAAATTGAAGCGGAGAGTTCTCTTCAAACGTCTACAGATTTTATTGCTGAGGTTATTCCACTGCTTCATACAAATTGCATATCGAAAAAAGTTGTAATGGAACAATTTTCAAATTTAATTTTGTTTTTTTGTTTTTGGAATTGACTTGTTTTCCAGTGTTTTATTGAAGCAGTTTCTTGATTCAAAAGAGTATTTTATTTCGGAAACAGTATCATTTATCTGATAATTATTTTTTTCTAGAATGCGAGTGAAAAACAGGGTCCAGCAAACTCATCTGTATGGCCAGAATCTTGGGACTGCAAATTTCTAAAATATCCTCATGGAGCTAAGGTGTTTGTTATATTGTGTTATGAATTAAAAGGAAAGATTAAAACCTTAATTGCATTTGAAGTTTCAGTCAGAGGATGATTTTATTTTTTGCACATTTTCATTTGTATGCATATTGATGATCAAGAAAAGCATTTTTTATAAATAGCTGTAGTGATTGTTCCTCAGACGATCTGTTACTAGCAAATGAATGTATGGCTATTAAACTTTGGTTTCAGAACAGTTGGCAACAGAAGAATAGAAGTAGTAAATTAATGGAAACGTCCGAACATTCTCCAAATGCAACAAATAGTCATTCAAAGTATGTAATTAGTCGAAAATGGTATTTTCCTGGGAAGCTTATCTGTTTCTTTTTTTTATTTGTTTAAAGTTTGAAACTTTTTTGGTACAGGGGAATATTCATGGGTGTTTTTCTAAGTTAAGATTTTTCATCATGTAACTTACAACATAGTGATTAAAGCCATCTTTTTCGGAAATTTTTTGTTTAGGCAAACGAAACAGGAAATGATTTCTATTACTCGTAAGTTACCAATACACAGTATCAGGGAAGAAATGAAAAATATTCTATGCAACGAGGTTAGATAAATTTTCCTTTATTTACGATTTCACTCCCACTTTTTCCATACTCTGATTGCACTTGTTTGTTCATAGAAGCTTAATTTGATTTTTTTGAAGTATTGTGATTTTAAGCTCATGACTGTGTAAACGAAGAATTATGATATTTATATATTGTATGTATAAATATCATAACTCTTTTTTTCTTCGTTGAACATTGATGCTGACATTAACATTTTATGCAAATTTAGGCGAGGGTATTACTTATCATTGCTGAGACCGGTTGTGGTAAAAGTACTTGCATCCCGCAGTTTTTGGCACTAGATGATATAGTTGCCTCTTCTCATCAAATTCTTTGCACGCAGCCACGCAAGGTTTTTAATATTTTTTGCATATAATGAGGACTGCGTAATTAGTGAATCAATTGACAACACATTTATTTTCAGACTGCTTTATGTGAAGTAGCTAAAAGCGTAGCGGAATATTTAACCAATTGCTGTTCCGTTAACACTTATAATGACAGGTATATTATATTGCTAACATTACAGCAGCATCTTTGCTGCAAGCAGCTTAGTAACAAGTATGTTTTTGTATTTTTAAAGCATGCTTAGTGACAAGCATGTTATTTGTAATCCTTATTTGCAGCTAACTGTTTTTGTTGAGATAGAAGCGATTCCCAGTATTTTTTATTGCTTCATTTAGTTAAGCGCTATATTCTAGACTCAGTGGCAAAACAAATGGAAAAATTATTTTTGCAACAGAAAAAAATTTGTTAGACATTGTGCAGTTGGATGATACTCTATCGTCATTTGGTTGTGTTATGATTGATGAGGTACACGAAAGAACTATGAGTACCGACATGTGTTTGGGAATGATGAAAAAAGTGCTTAGATTGCGGCTTGATATGAAATTAGTTAGTTTTGTTAAAAATTGAATTGTTAATTCAACTAAATATGTGTTGCATTGCCCACTTAATCTCTATGTCATGTTTTAGGTTATCTGCTCTGCCACGATGGATGCAGATCCTTTATTGAATTATTTTTCTGAATTTCAAGCAAGAAAACTAGAAGTTTCAGGGCGTCGTTTCCCTATACAGATTCTTTATGAACCGCCATCTCCAAGTGAATCTCTAAGGTTGGCGCAAAAAAACTGTTACTTTAGCACTTGTAGTTTATCTTTTAAAAATTTAAGTTGTTGAAAGCGTATTTTGTGAACTTTCCTGTTTAATTCATTACTACTCTTTCATTAACCATGTAATTCTGGCATGTTTATTCCTTTCAGGATTTCTTGCTTAATGCGAGATTATGTCGGCCGAACAGTGCAAAAAGTAATTGATATCTGTGATGCGGAAGCAAAAAAGCAACCATTTCAAAATGTCGGAAACGTTTCTGAGATGCATGCTGGTCATATATTGGCTTTTTTACCAACGTACGAATTTTTATTAAAAAGTTGTATCATCATTTTTTGAAAGTAGAATATTCAAATAGGACTTTGAAAAAATATGTAGAGGAAAGAGCTTATAGCACTAGGTTTTTTTGCTAGTGCGCCATTCCTATCTTTAGTAAATAAGATTTTTATTTTAAATGCAAATTACTACTTTAAAAGAGCTCCTGAGTTATAGACATTTTCTAGCATTTTACGATTATTTATAATTTTTAGATTTGTTTGCTGTCTAGAATTTTATCTTACTTTTTAAGTCCATTCGAACTACTGATGGCTGAGGAGCGTTTATATCGAGAATTAAAAGAGCGTAAGCATCCTGTACGGGTGAAGATTTTAAATTTATATGGTCATATGTCAACCGAAGATAGAGCAGAGGTTTTTGCACGTTTGGAACCAGAATATCATCACATGGTTGGTTATTGTGTTTTAAAACTTTATTCATGCTAAAAATTTTGGTTAATTATGTTTATTTCACTTTTAATATAGGTTATATTCACGACGAATGTTGGTGAAACTGCTATTACAGTTTCTGGGGCTCGATATGTTGTCGACTGTGGTTTGGCTAAAGTATGCATTTTGCTCATGTTTAATTTCGTTTCATTAATGTAATAATGCACATTCTGTTGAATTTTGATGAAAGCTTGTTATGCTGATTATTTCAATTGGTTAATCATAGGGAAGAGTCATTATATTTAAAGGTCAAAAAATATAATTCCGTTCGACGGACAAACACGCTAGAAATAGGTTTAATATCAAGATCTGCAGCGATGCAGCGAGCTGGAAGAGTTGGGAGAACAGGACCTGGTTTGTAAAAATATTTACATTTATGAAGTTTGAAGAAAATGTATTTGTGGCAATGAATGTATAAATGTGTGAAGAGATCTCAAAACAAATTTTCGTTATGAATTCGTAGAAGATCTTTTTGCTTTTTATCAAAATTCATTTCATAATAGTCTCTTTTTGTTTGCTCACAAACGGAAATTGCTTTGAATGCAATTCAAATTCCCTGATAATAACTATTTAATGACAATATACTTTTTCATTTGTGTATGAAACAAAGCTTGTTATAATGATTATTTCAATTGACGTTATGTGTTTTCACTGAGGCTACGTACTTATAAGCGTCTTGTGTTTATTTTGTTTTGTAAGTGTTTGACTTCCAGCGATTGCGTAATTACTTTTGAAAGCAAAATTATTTGTAGATTTTTCATGAACTACATATTTATGAAAGATAAAAATATAGGTATTTGTTATCGTCTTTACTCGGAGATGCTGTACGAAAGTATGGAACCAGCAAAACCATCTGAGATATTGCAAACAAATCTTGCTGAAGTGGTGTTGTACATGGTAGCAACTGGCATCGAAAATCCGGCTGGTTTCGATTTTTTGGATAAACCAGAGGAATATAGACTTTTGCAAGCTGAAATTCTTTTGAGGTAAGTTCATAGGGAGATTTTGTTGCATCACTTATAATTTTTGATACATTTTGCAATTGATTTCTGTTAGTTCTTTCTGAGTTTTTCGCTCTAAATCTTCGTGAAAGCAAATTCTTCAATTTGAGATAAAATAAGCTTTAGATCGCTGAAAGCGCTAACCACTGTTGAGCAAAAACCTGTTTTAACGGAAACTGGTGTGGAAATGAGGCTTTTGCCGATCGAACCTCGACTAGCGAAAATGGTTCTTGACTCCGTTTATTATGATTTGGTGGCTGAAGCTGCTGTTGTCTGTGCAGGCATACATGTTGGCTCGCCTTTTCGTCGTAGAAGAAATGATGTAAAATTTTAGCACATATTGATTACCAAGTAGTTTTAGCATGTCCTCATTTCAGTCATAAGAAGATCTATACTAGTGACAAATTAGTTAAGATCTTCAAATGTATTGGCTGTTTATAAATGGAATTTGAATCGCTTAAGGAAGCTCATTTTTCATATATAAAAATTTTAATCCATTCTTACTATATTATTTCAGAAATTTTTGTTCATGGATCAAAAGAAGCTATCATTTTGTCAAGAGAGCGGTGATCCAATGACGCTTTTGACGGTAGGTTAAATTCTAAAATAAAAATTTCTGTGTAATCTTCATGAAAATTTTTTGAAGATTTTATGAATGAATTTTTGTGATTTGACTCACTGTTAAACAAATTTCATTCTTCTTTTTTCATATGGTTGCTAATATTCCCCAGTGGTAATATGAATTTCATTAATTCATTTAAATATAATTAGTTGTTACGGTTCCATATGAAATATAGAAAGTTTTTTTACAGGTATTCGAGCAATATTTGAAAACGCCAAAAAGTCAGCGTAAAAACTGGTGTTTTCAGAATTACATAGATTTGAAAAGTATGAAGTCTGTAGTAGACATGGCTTGCAAGATTTGCAGGATTATTTCAGGTCTTAAGGTAAAGACATTTGTAAAATGTGATTTTTTATATCTATAAATAGACATGTATATTTATTGACTTTTATTCTGACTTTGAGAGGTTCATATCTTCTACTAAGTCATTAATATTTGTATATACAGATCTCCTATCAGTTCGTGAAGTCATTCGTATGTTGATTTAGATGTGATTAGCTTGATTTTATTTGCGAATCAGGAAATGTTCCTGCATATTGCTGTAATTTCTGTTATTGATTAGTTTTAGAGTGTTCAAGCGAACATAAGTACGCTCGATTTATCGAAAGCGCGAGCACATATACCTTACCTTTTTTGTCAGTCTTTCGGGAATAATTTGGCTTGTTACTCAGGTTTACCCCACTGTGGATATTATGATGTCGGTGAACCTAATAAATGTGTTTTTGTAGGTTTCCCTTTTTTTTTGTTCCTTTTTTTTCTATTTCGAACACGGGTTAAAGCTTATTTGTAATTTCATTATAGATAGCAAGAATACAGGTTTCGATAACGAACATGCCAAGCTATAATATGGCCTACTCACATGTTTCATTAATATGTAATAATCTTTCTATTTATAGATTCATCCGTCGTCAGCTTTATCATATAGTGATGTAATACCGGAATTTATTGTATATGAATGTTCAGTACAGTCGTCAAAAGATTTTGTCACAAATGTCTGTGCGGCTGATCCCTCATGGCTTGACAATTTAGATCAGAATGTGCTAGCTCAGGAAAGAAAAGTATGAATACTTCTAGCAGCTAGTTGTTAAAAAATATTTATTAAAGTTGGAAGTTGCCTTAATTAGTCTTTTCATTTGTCAGAGAATTCCTTCAAATATCGAAGTTGCTATCCTTCTTGTATTATCATTTAATCTCATTTAAAATAGTGCGCTCGTTCCCTGCACGGTGTTATTATTGTTGAAATTCTTTCCGTCATATCTCTGTCTTTTCGCAGTCAGGTATCTTCTTGAAATATATTGTGTTTATTTGAATTTTGCAGAGAAAGTTAGTACCTTACAATGTTACCTGTGGAACTGAAATTAAGAAATGGTTAATGACACAAATCGATCGCTTTCAGCAAGAGGTACTTTAAATTTTAGCTGTAACCATTGAGAACTTGTACATATACAATTCTTAGATATGACTTTTCTTTAAAATAATGAAAGCTTTTCGTTTTCAGTGTAAAAGATGAGAGACCGGCATATATCATTGTAACTGCATTTGAATTAAGAACAAATTTTTGCATTTTCAAACATGGTTTTTTAGTTTGGTTCGAAATGTTTCGTTTATAAACGCGAAAAAAATTCATTCTACCAACTCCAGATTTATGTCTCCGCTAATGATCTTCCAAAAGTGCGTTTGGTTTAATTTGTTTGAAAGTTTTTTACTGTTCGTTAACAATTTTTAATTTCTGTCAAAAATTCAAAAATTTTTAATTTCTGTGAGCAAGTATAAAATTATGAGAGCATTATGGAATTTATATACATATAATTTCATGTGAATTTGTATCGAATATATTTTTAAATAATGAGAGAAAATATTTCTGTAGTAGTTTTTTAGTTGGAAGCATTCGTTAACAAATTTCTTCAAGCAAAGATAGATGAGAAGTGCAAAAAAACTATGGAATTACCGGTTGTGGATGCAGATTATTTGGTTTGCTACATTTCCTTCTATTTTCCGAAAGATAAATATTCATCAATTCTCATGAAAACAATTTTAGAGAGAAAAAAGTTCGAAGGCAGATATTTAAATATTTAATCTGAATAATTGGACAATCTTTAAGTTTCTCTCTTTCTGAAACACCAGTTTTCAAATTTAAAAAATATATAATCTATCTTAAATGTTCAGTTGCACATTGCTGGAGACGGTACGCCTCTAGAAATCCTAATGCCAGGTGAATTCTGTAGCATGTTTGTTGGGAATGAAGGCATCGATTGGGCAAAGAGTGATTTATTTAGAGATAAACTGAAGAACTATTTCAGCCAGGTCAATTTCTGTTTGTTAATAAAATAAGATTTTTGCGTTTTTAATATACTCCAATAATGGTTTAATTGCTGCGACGTATTTTTGTGAATAAAGCATTTTTTTGTGAGTAGATAGAAGCTAAAATTAGTGGGAAGGAAGTTGTGCATTTCATTAATGAGAAGTTGTATGCAGACTTCGATCAAGTTACTATGTTTTTTACACTTTGAATGCATCATTATGATGCATTTACATTTTTTCGTTTTGTATAACTAAATTGTGCATTATTAATTTGCAGTTTGGTAAAATTACCGATTTTACAACATTCGGAGAAGAGCTTCAAAAAAAATTTGGTCACTCATGTCTAATTCGAATGGAAAATAAGACTGCAGCTTTGAATGCATTTGTATATAATAATGAAAAAGAATGTGGATTAAATATTGAGGTTGCATTCAAGTTGAAAATTTTAAATTTTTTCGTCTTTGTCTCTATCACTTCTGATATCATCAGTTATGAATTCGGAATGTAATAATTTTCTTCATTATGCATTTTGTAATTCTTTCGATCAAAATTTCTATTTAGCCTCGCTTTGGAACAAAATACCTGGGTGTCGTTAATCGCCATCCATGTGCTTATCGATTGCTCATAGGATGGTGGCGCAGACCTAGTTTACGCATTGGACACATTAAGGTCAAGTTTCTGAAAACTAAGGATATGTAATTTATTGCTTTCAGTTGGTAATTTTAATAAAAATTATATAATTGTATATATGATTTATTTATCCGTTGTAATATCTTAAAATAAATTAGGCAAACTGTTCTTGCTCCTGAAGGTTATTCAAGAAAATTCGAAAGAGTGATTTGATGGTATGTAGTAGATTTTTTTAGTTAAAATGTCGAAATTTCGTTGAAAGAATGTCCGCATTTGAAGCTATTGCAAGGCACCTACATTTCTTTCTGCCGTCAATGCTGCCTGAAAATATAATGGTAAGAATTTAGTACTTCGCTTTTGTTTAAAATGGATTTTGTGGTAATTATACCTAAAAAATCTTGAATTACATATCAAACTGTTTTTTACAGGAAAGAGATCGAAATGTAGCTATCGAAGACTTGTTTAAAGTAAGTTCCAGTGGGTTTCATAATTTAGTTTGAACAGCTGCACTTTAATAAGCATTGTATCATTTGTCTAGTTTCTTCAATTAGTCACTGTCTAAGAATAGTGAAGAACAAAATTGTCTTTTATTTATGTTTAGATTAAACTCAAAAATCTTCCTTTGAATATGGATAATCGTGAATTACATCGCATTGTAAAACCAATACTTGACGCGCATGGGATTGAATTCGACGGTCTGTATATACTTCGCAAGAAGACCTATCCTATTGAAACTGAGGAGTAAGCTTAGTGAAATTACTTTTGTATATTGGTTTTAGAAAAACCACATTTTCAGACATCTAATATGTAATAAAAATGAAAATATTGGGTAACCAAGAGAAAGTTCGGATGGGGTTTTATGACAAAGGTATTCCAATCGCATCTATTGGAACTGAAAAGCTTTTGATGATATCTACAAGAAACCATCAAAATATTGAAGTATTAAGTATTAAAGAAGTTTTTAAGAACAGTTATTAAAGTCAATATTCGCATTATTTCGTAAATTATTTTTGTTCATTTTCCTAATGTTAACGGTTCTCGAAAAATGTTGCCTTGAACTATGCATTATCTAATATTATTGGATTGTGCAACATTTAAAATGGTTTTTTTGTAGAATGATGGAACAGTTATCTCAAAAAATAACTGATTACATCATTAAAGTAGCTAGAGACGAGAATGTAGTGAAAATACCTCTTTTCGACTATAATGAACGTAAAGAACGTAAGTATTTCTGTCCTATGCTTTTATTTTTTTGGATTAAGAGAAATTGTCAGTTTCGCAGTAAAATGTGCTTAATAAGCTTTCTTGTACTAAGTTGACTGTGGTTTATTGCGAACGTTATATCATTTTCTTGAATTGCAGGGAAATATAATGGTTATCCATTCGACGTGAAAATAATTTCTCCAAAATATGATAGTGACCAGAAATTTGTAGCGCATGTTATCTTCTATGATATGAATATAGGAAAGCGAATTAGCGATGCGCTGAGGAAAGCAGCAGGAAATGGGATCGTTTTGGAAATGGGACCAGAAAATCAAACGCATCCAGCACGTTTTAATTTTTTGCTTCAGCTTTTTAGTAATATCGTTAAGGCAAATTATGGTTTGAATAATTGCAGTTATATTCTGAAGATTTTGGTATATATTTTGTGGACACTATCAATAACATTATTACAACTAAACTTTAAATGCACAGTGAGTCTGTAAATCTTCAATATTTCTATTTGAAATGGTGTCTACTTGCTCAAGATATATAATCAGTGCATTCATTCTGGTACGATAAAAGTTTTTGAGGTGGAGATGCAACCGATGTATCAATACCAAGTAAAGATCTGGAAACCTATCTTTGAAGCGGTTTTCAGTGACTTGAAAAAAATCTACAACAAAATTAATGCCGAAAATATCTATTTTGACTATCGAACAAATAATCAGAACTATCGACTCCTAATTGCGGGGAAGAATTTCAAGTGAGTTTTCTATGCATTTTTTTGGTCACGATTTCATTCATGATTTTTTCTTTTGTAGAATATGATTGGTCCTTATGATTTTTCAGTGCTGTGAATGAGTTAAAGGCTTCGGTTGAGGAAGTTATAAATGGTTTTACGCTGCTTTGTCGAAATAACGAAGAAATCAATGGCATGAAGTTACCCTGTCATCGATTACTAACAAAGTTAGTTTTCTTTATAGATTAAAAATATTACTGCTACAAAGTTTTCTTATTAAGTGACTCTGTTAAATAATTCTTTTGTAATTTTGCCCTCCTTTTAAAAATTCCGTATACTACATTTTTAGAGTTGGTCGAGGGTTCCTACAGGACTTGTCAGAGCAGCTGGGGGTATTAATCTGTGTTTCATCACATAAAACGGAAGTTAAAATTCGAGGAAGTGTTGCGAATGTTTTTAAAGCGAAATTAGAAGTCGCACGCTTCCTACGTGAATGGTAAAAATTAAAGCATCTTTAAAAGTTTTAAAGTTATTTTTTTTATTGACTATATTTTTTACCCTATTACGGGATGCTATGATTTTCAACATTTTATTAATGTTTTCTATTGAGCTTTAGTTTTTCTTCGCCTCTGAAAAATTGTATTATAGGTCAGATGCAGACATCAATCAGTTGTTGATTCTGCAGCCACCAAATTACAAAGCAGGCACTATGAAAGCATTATTAGCTCAAAACGATTATGACATTCTTTCATTAGAAAAGCAGCTAGGTCATGGCGCACATTTAGATGCTAACATATCTAGGCGCGAATTGTTTTTCGCTGGAAAGGAAACAGAATATCGACATCTCTTGGTTGGTTTATTATTTCTAAAACTGCATGCATTATGAGTTTAATTTTACCACATTCATACATAATGCGTGTGATAAAATCAGAATCATTTTTTCTCAGGTCTTTTTACCGATGAAGTGGCGCTTAAATTACTTTAAATGTTGGAGTGTAGATTATATTCATAATGCATGTATTCCTTTTCCTCTTTTTATTCAATAAAATATAATCAGAATCATTCCAGGATTTATTACGGGCTATATCTGACAGTCTTCCGCTAAAAGATTCTGACATCAAGGAGAACGAAAGACCCGAATGTGCTATCTGCCTCACTGCTGTTGAATTGAAAAATTACAGTTTACAGGCATGTGGGCATTATGCTTGCAAGTCATGTCTAGACCTTCAAGTAAATTTAATTCCCATTCATTTTCTTTTAAAGCTGATCTTGGTTTCGAATGTGTTCAAGAATAGTGAATTCATCTAATTGCCAATTTTTCGCTCAATTTTTATATTCTTGGTCTTATCATGGCAGTCTTTTGCTAATTTGACATCTTACGTTGAGTTTTTTTTTTCAAAATCATATATTTTGCATTAGTTGTTGTGTACTTGGAATTTACATTTATCATATTTAGCTTAAAACGGCATTTGAAACACGTGGTTTTCCCATTGTTTGTGTAGCTTGCCAAAAACCTTTTACTTGGTCAGATTTGGAATTTCTTCTATTTGAAAGTTCTGATCGTGATAAGAATCAAGTAAAGCAATTGCAATCATTGGCTGATGCATCTATTGCTTACTTTATTCAACGGAATGGCAATCTTTATATGCACTGCAGGACACCGGATTGTCGAGGACTCCATCCAGTTTGTTATCATTTATTTGTGGAGTTTGTTATCTTATTATTAGCTTCTTGGTATTCTGTCCTTTTGTTTGCATTTATACAATCTAGGTCACAAAAGGAGCTTCACTAAGTCGTTGTAAGTTGTGTGACCATCTACAGTGCACTAAATGTGGGAGAGAAGATCATGAATCAATGACATGTGAGGGTTATGCTAAATGTCGGACGAATGCAGATGAATCACTTAAGAAGTGGTTACAGTAAGTTCTTTCTCTTATATATTAGCGTCATGATATTCGTTGCTTATCAGTAAAATATTGGATGTCTATGGAATTTTTCAATATCAAACTTACATGGTGTGATGTATGAAAGCTGTTTTTTTTTTTTTTTT